TCAGAAGGAGGGTTCAGGGAATGTTTTTTTTTCCTCCCCTTTTCCCAAGAGCTGAAGGGCTCTTTTTATAGTAAAAAACTGCAGAGGTGGCACCATGTAATTGGCTTTGAGGGTATGTAGGAGCCGCCCTCTAGTGGTAAGTAGGTTGTAGATTGGGTTGGATCGAACCGGCTTGGTTCAGATGGTATGGGTCGAGTTGGTTCAGGCTGGGTTCAACCGGTTTGATTGAATTAGAACAATTGATTTTGGGTATGACTTTCAGAGTTGACTTTATTTTATCGTTGAATCTTATTTGTATATAATTATCATTGACTTGGGCTTAACAATGTTGTATTTGTAGTTTTGTAATTTTATTTAGTAATGTGTTTGTGAATTGTAATTTATTTTAATAAGACCATTACTTATTTCCTTATCTTTAATTGTTCTCGAAGTTAAGTCCCAAATCCACTAATCAATTTTTATTTTTTAGCAAATAGAGTTAGCTATCGCTAAATTTGTTTAATCGCCCAAATTTTAACAACTCGACCCATGTCCAAAACAAACTCTGATGTCTCGGCATCCTTAGTTTTACTAAATGTTAATCATATATAGAGATGTTTACGAGTGACTATTGTCAATTTAAAACAAACCGAATACTCAACTACTCTTAATCAGTAGTTCGAATTAGTAAATTGCCCGGACAAAATGTGGTGTCTACAGTTGCCCCCCTTTGTATATCTCTCGGTATTTGAGAGGTATACAAAGTTCCTTTTTAGGACACCAAATTTTGACAGTGTTAGGGATGGGTCGATTGTTTGATGATGACGACACATTCAAGTTGTTTGGGGTAAAACTAGCTAAACAAATTGAAAGATGGTATAAGAAAGCACTCAAGTTGTTCGAGATATAATACGTTGAACAAATTGAATGAAAAATGCAATCACGTTGTTCAGGGTATGACGGGCTGAACAATTGTTGATGGCAATGCGATGGGTTGTCCGGGATATGACACGCTAGACATTTTCTTACAATGCAATCAAGTTGTTCGGGATATGACGGGCTGAACATTTGTTGATGGCAATGCGATAGGGTTGTCCGGGATATGACACGCTAGACATTTGTACTGACAAGGCAATCAAATTGTTCGGGGTAAGACATGCTAAATATTATTGACTGCAAAGCTCTGGGGTTGTCCGGGATATGACATGCTAGACATTTTAATGCATGGTGATAATGAGTATGAGAGTGTTTTGTGAGATAATCATGAGTAATGTTAATGAATGATAATGTCGTGTTATGAAAAACATGTGAGAGAAAGAGTGTGATATAGCCTAATTTGGATTTCTATTTTTATGAGGTGTAGACTGACTTGGAATTTTTTCGCGGCGGTATAATCTGGTTTGTTTTTCATGGCGGCAGGGCCTAAGTTAGCTTCTAGGTATCTTGGCAGTAGGGCCTGTGTTGGTATTATGTATTTTGGCGGCAAGACCTGAGTTGGTATTTAGGTATCGTGGCGGTAGGGCCTGAGTTGGTTTTTTTAGTTATTCTTGGCGGTAGGACCTGAGTTGGAGCATCGAATGGCGGGAAAATGCAAGATGTTGTATGACATGATGTAATGTCGTGATTCGAAATGTTGTTGAAAGGGTTTGCCTGATTGATATTTACTTTGGCTGTGAATTCCTTGAAGCTAGTCATTTAATGAATGATATGATATGAAGTGCATTCGATAAAATGTTGTATGATAAGTCATATGATGATGTTTTGAAGAGTATGCGTATGAAAGAGTACGATTGCTCCTCATGGTTTATCTATTTTACATCGAGGATTCTCTTAAATCGATCATCCACAAAGAACTATGTCATTGTCCCTTTTAGTGAACGTGATCTATAGTTTTGGTGGTGCTGGAGTAGCATGGGTGTCGCCGGTGGGTACTTTCTCCCTTCGGTGTGAGCCATTATCGCAAGGTATTGGGTTTGCCATCTAGTATCTCCTCTTTGTCTCCTCACTGATCCTAAGGCATGTCATTTTGGGGGACTACTGAAAGGTTGGTCCTCTACTTTCTCCACCTTAGACATCGGTGCTTGAGTGGCTGATGTGTTAGTCGTATGATCTTCTTGTTCATGAGTTGTGTTTGGTAGGTTGATTTGTAGGAGGCTTTTGTACCATGGTGGCGTTGGGATAATGCGCTCATTTAGTTTGATTGATATTCTTGCTAGGCGAGTACGTTGTGCTTGGCTAAGAGGAATTTATCATCTCTGGGTATTGTCTTGTTGATGTCGGTTTTGCAATATATGTTTGATTGACTTCGCTGGAAGGTGTGAGCCACATAATAGGCCATGAGAGGATAGTCGATCGACCCGTTCCTCCAATTGGTGAAGAGTATATGGAAATCTCACAACGAATTAGTGAGAATATTGAGTATTGGACTTGTGAGAATTTCAAATTATCCATCTTCAAGGCCACATCAAGTTGTATCCCATGATCTGTTGTGCACTTTCATCTTGTGGTATGTCCCATTGGTGCCAACTGTTGGGTTGCTTGTTTCTCAAGCTAGGGTTCCACATATCTTCTCACTCTTGAGTAATCATGGTAAATTGGTAGTCATGAGCTCCTTATAGGAAAGTTGCTTTAAGGATGAGTTGACTTAATAGCAGGATAGCTTGAACAGAGTGATTCAAGATCTCTGAGATTTCTTGTTTACTCATGATTTGGAGAGTAAGGAAACCCACTATGAGCATTTGAACTTCTTTCTTTGTTGGGTCACACCATTTGCCCCCGGGAAGATGTTACTTGCTTTCCACTCTTTGAAATAAAGCGTAACTTTTGCCAATCTTGATTTAAGACGAATGCAAACAATGTTTGAAAAATCTTGTTTGAAAATGTATAATGGGAACCTGATTTTTAGAAACCAAAGCCTCGATTGAGGGAAGTGTGTGCAATTTTGAGAAAAATAATTTATCATGTGGTTATTGCCACATTGTTTAAAATTTGTTTTTTATAAGCCATGCCATGAGAATATTCATAAGCCCTCACTTTCATTCACTCTCACGCTCAATTTCTCTCACACTCATTCCTATGGGTGCTCCGAGTATACGACACTTCGACTGCTATCAAGATTCTGGTCACAATGTTGATGGTTAAATGTGCTTGAGGTAGAGACTGATCATAGAGAGAATGGGTGATCTTTGTATGGTCCTGTGGTAAAAGTTCTCGAATGTCATGAAAGGAGCTCTTGTCTAGTATGACTCTAATGGTAAGAGGTCTCGTGTAAGGTTTTTGCTGAGAGATCTGGCTTGCCCCCAAAGTATGACGTTAACTGAGGGATAAAAGAAATATACGTTGATGAAGTCTCATTTTCCATGAAGATGGTGGTTCTTCTTGGGAATATTTGTGGGTATATTTTGGAACATGTTGCCCCCAATGTCTTGGACTTTTGGTTTTGAGGGGTAAGCTTGAGTAGCGAAGTAACTGAGGTCATTTTAGTAGAAGCTGGATTATGAAAATCTTCTCACTTGTCGAGATCCTTGCTTGACCTCGAAAGGATGGATAAGGAGATCTTGGTATGATACAAGCTTCGACATCTCATTGGTAATCCAAATAATGAATGTTGAAGACACTTGTGTGGCGCAAGCATGGATGTTGAAGTCTTTGTTATCATGGTGGTTCTTGTTTATCTTCAAAGTGAAAGTTCAGTTGATGGATAATGAGGATGATTATGGGTAGAATTTAGACTAGGCAGACATTCTTGTTTTGGGAGCCCCGTCCTATTCGAGTTTACTTGAGTCATTTCTTCAGGCTTGGCAGAAGAATACCCTTCATTTCGAGAGGTGATTAATTTGATGACTAGCCCCGCATGAGTGTGTAGATAAGGTTGATTGAGAGAATGAATCTACATCGCTCTTGTGACCATGTCGACGGTAGACTCAAAATCATCCTTTTGGCCTTTTAGAAAAGGTAGTAAATAACCTCCACTCGGACTAGTTTGAGTAATTATGACTTCAAAGTGCTTGTGAGGGGGTATCTAACGTGTAAGTCCCACGAGCTTTTTCTTTTTATCTTGATTTTCTTTTTCTTTCCTTTTTGAAATTTTTTTTGCTCTTTTTTTTGTGTGTGTGGGACTTACTTGGCTTTGTAATGCCCCCTACATGTTGACTCTTCTATTTTTGTGCACGAGCACCAATGATTTAGGATATTTGTCGATATATCGATCTTTGTGAGTATTCCTTATTGACTAGGCAAATTGGTCATTCCTTTCTTGAAGAAGAGAGATATCTTATGCCGACATGTATTGTTCGGATGCTTTCTCTACTTGAATATCTAACAAATCGGATTTAGGAATTAAGCATTTGGACGACAACGAGGCTATTTGTCTCCTTACAAACTCAAGTGATGATGTGAGTTTGTCTAATTAGATCATTCAACCTCCTCAATCTTATGGCCGTTAGGGCTTTGAGAGAAATTGGCTATTATGATGTCGGCATATCGATGCTTATGGACCATGATTTGGCTACTCAACCTCCTTTCTGGTTGAGCCATGCTTTGATGGAGAAGATCGGATCTGGTTGTGACAAGCTTTCTACGAGTAGCCTGATGTCGTATCCTCATTACACCCTTCGACTATTTAGCTCATATAATTTGTGGACACTAGTGGGGTGTTTACACTCTCAATACTAGTGGGGTGCTCAAAATCTCGACACTAGTAGGGTGTGCACTCTCTGAATATTTGTGGGTTGCAAAAATTCTTGACACCGACAAAGTATTTATAATCACTTGACACCAGTGGGGTGCTTATATTGGCTTAATATGAAAATCTCATGGCTTAACTCGAAAACATGGAATGCATTTTAAGGTTCCCATTTTTAGAGAAGAAAAGTCTATTTTAAATATTTGGAAGAGATTATCACCGTTTGAAAAAGACGAATCATTAATGCAAGGTCCTAAATCAAGATTGGTAACAATTACACAATGTCCCAAACATATGGAAATACAAATAACTCTTTATTCCTTAGTATGAAGCAAGTGCTGGTACATTTCTTCAATATGGTGAAGTTTCTCGCATTTATTTGATTATGCGGGGCTACATCATCTTCAAATCAAGCTCTATAGGCTTACTGAACTCCGTGATTGGGCATGGGTTATTGATGTTTGAACGAATAACTTCTTCGAAATTTATGATAGATTCCTTGTGATCATAGCAACTTTTCATTTCATTTGTTTTCCAGGTATCGTTGACTTCTTTTGCTGTCATCGAATTTCTTCTAGAATTAGCACAACCTTGGATCTGGTACAAAGGGGTTGACTTTATCCTCGTGGATGAACAATTTTAGAGAATTCTTGATTTATTATGGTTAAATTCCGCCATGTTGATAAATGAGATGAATATATGATAATCATGCGAAATGGTGTAAATATGCCTATGCAAGATGTTTTTTGGCAGATGCATGAATATTTGTGAAATTCCATTGATAATTACACAATGGATAAATGGAGAATGATAATCAAAGATTAGAATTTTTTTTTGCGTATAATTGACCCACATAATTTATGAATAACTGATAAAGCATAATTTATCACGTTATAAGCAAACATACATCAAAAGTATAAGAAACATGACACCGATTAGATAAACCTAGGGTCGGTGGATGATTTAACTATGAGGTTTAAGGTAGGCTCTTGGATAAGTTTTGGACGGCTTTATAAGGTGACTATATGCTGGGTGAGAAGTTCCTAAGAATTGGCTCCCAAGTTGTACCCAACTATAACTCTTTCGAGTTAGCCAGATACCTCAAATCAACCTCGGATTTGAGTTCAACTTGGTTAGAAAGTTTCACGTTATTCCCCTACTATTGTAGAAGTCACGCTACTCCTTTCACTTTCTAAAGGGATAGCTCGGGTATAGAGCTTTTATGAATGAATGCAAATAATTAAATACAAGATAAATTAAAAGCATAGACAATATATTGAACACCCATAAGCGAAGGAAAGAAAGACTTATCGATTTGTTACCGTAGCTCGACTCTTTATGGTCCCCAGCGGAGTCGCCACTGTCGCAACCGCCCCTCCGAGGTTGGGGTACCCGTTGCGAACTGATCGGAGTCGCCATCGACCCAGCTTTGGGATGGGTCGAACACCCTTTTCCGGTTTTAATTTTTGTTAAAACCAGAATTTTGGTCTACGAATTTTAGATTTTGGGTTTGGGAGTACGGTTACGTGTGGGGAAGTGTATTCACACCCCACAACGCCCCAAATGGGTACTACTTAAATCGATAAGTTTTAAAAGGGTTGGGTGTGTTATTGTTTGTGCATTATTGTGTATTTAATTATATGATTTGATTTAATTTGATATTTATTAATATACGATTCGATCATTACGACTATTGACGTAAATCTCGAAAGGTAAAGAAAGAGTTTTATAATTAGTTGGACTCGAACCTATTGGTTGCCTACGTACCCGACTTAGTCGGGATCAAAGTCCACGTAGTTCGTTCGAAATTGATATATTTTAAATGTTGATCGGTTTTTAAAAGAGAAAACTTTACACGTTCTATTGATTGTGTAAGTTTAGGTATAGCATTTCTTCTTTGAAGATACTTTTAGTGTGTTGACTTAATCATTTATTGGTTACACGATTGTCACGTTCTATTGAATATGACTTTCGTATTAAGGAAATTTGTGAAATGAATATGGTTGACGAACTTTTCTGCAATTGAGCAAGTCCTTCCTATAGTTTAGGTATTAATAGTGCACTAGGATTTAATGGAATTCTACGAGATAAACAAAAGTGACTGAAGTGATATATTTAACATGTACATTACGTATGTAAAAATTTAAACGAAATGTAATTGTGTTAGAAAGATAAGCAGTGGCTTAAGTGGTTAAAACCTTGAGCCCTTGACTAGTATTATGTGACAACGCTAAGGTTAACGGATCGAATCCTAGCAGCCATTTAAATTTTTTGTTTGACATTTTGAACTTCTCGAGTCGTTTTAGTGATAAAAACGACGCCTGGGTCGTTTTGAGGGTCAATTCGGGTCGTTTTAAAGGAGTGGGGTTGGGTATTTAAGGGATTTTTTATGGTGAAAATCCTAACCCTAGCCGCTCACCCTTATTCACCCCTCTCTATCGCCCTTTCCTTATCTGAAGAAAGAAACCCTAATCCTGAACTCCCCTCTCTCTCAATCTCGAACCTTCTCTTTCTCAATTGTGTTCGTCCCTCACCTCCCAAAGAACGACAAATCAACCTAGCTCCCCTAAATCGACCCAAATCGTCGCTTCTCTCTACCTCAACCCTTGAAACCAAACGAAACGTCTCATCTCTTCACTCCTAATAACAAACCGAGGAGAATGGAAGAATGCCAGGACGGCGGCGGAGCGGGCAAGACGATGGTAGGCGACGGTGGAAGAAGGTGAGATCAAGTTCTCTCACTTGCATGTCGAATTTTAAGGGTTTGATTTTGGTTTTAGGGTTCTGAATGTTTTCGCTTTTCTGTTTTGATTTGAATTTTGGGGGTTTTTGTTCATGATAGGAAACGGGGATGACTAGCGGTCAGAATTTGCAGGGTGCGGAGAGAAAAAAAAACCTCCGGCGACAGAGTGGAGTAACTCTGGCCGGTGTCGACAAAACCAAAGTGGAACCCAACGGTAAGCGTTGAGGGTGTTTTTGGTTTTGAGCTTTTGATTTTTGTTTTGTCTATTGCTAATCTGACTTTGTTCTATCTCTTGAAGGTTTGGGGTTTTAATCATGGGTGAGGGAAGGAAGCAGAGGAACGAAAGGTAGAAGATGGTCGCTGCCGGCATATCTAGGTTTCGCCGGCGACGACGGAAATGAGGTAAGCTTTTGAAATTGGTAAACCGTGCTAAGTTTTAGGCGTTTTCTAGATTTTTTAGATTTTGACTATGATTAGTTGTTTTTGTTAGATTTCATGCTCTGAAGGGATTATTGTATTATCTTTCCCAAACTCGAATTAGACTGGTTAGGGATTTTAAAACCCAGAAAACTGATTTTATTGTGGGTTTAAAGCGATGCTTGGTTTGCTGATGCTCCGCTTCAGTATTGGAAAATTCCGTGTATTTATGGTATTTGATAGTATGTGGAATTTGGGATTGATTGATTTAGTGTTGTGGTTCAAAAACCCAGATTTTGTGTTTAGTAATAAAAACTCGGTGGTAACCTAAACATCCCTGCTAGTGCTTGAGATTTTTAGAAGCTTTGCGAATTTCTTGATTGATTTGAATACTTGAGATTTGAAATTGTTTGGGCCCTAGTCTGGCGGTTATATTGGGGTGTTGATTCTGAGAATTCGGCTATGGTAAGTTTATTTTGGTTTTGGAACTGAAATTTTGTGGTGTGTGTTTAGTGGATTTGATTTAGGGTACTCATGGTGATTGATTAAAAATGAGTTAAATGTGATTAGATTGGGGTATGTTTCAATTTTTGAACCTAAAATTTTGCAGGAGTTGTAAACTAACAAACTGAGTCTGAAATGGTTTTGAGACCATCCTTTAAATTTAAAGTCTGGATTGTGAAAATATGCGGGTTTTGGTGCTGGATACATGTGTGGTTTTATGTCGTATGTTAGAGATATGGAAACTTGTGGGTTTAGTTAGTTAAAAGTGAATATCAAAACTGATTTTGATTGCTTATGGTTTGGACGATAGCGTGGTGTATGTGTTTTTTAGTATACTAAATGAAGGAAAGCAAGTGAACATGAGACAAAGAAAGTAAACAAATATAGTTTTACTCGTGATATGCTTGAATGATAAGAACCAGAAGACATTTAAATTGAAATACTGAAGTAAATGACAAAGGCTAAAATAGATGTGAACATAAATATGATGAACTTATAAAGAGAGCAACTAAATCTTTTTCGTTGATTTATTTTCCTATTATGATGGGATTAGCCATCTTGTAATTTGCTTGAAGTTCATTAGAGCTTGATTTATTTTGGAGTTTACAGGTCAAAGTTGTAATTTGATTGAGGCTGATTGAGTTTTGGTTTTGAAAATAACTTAGTAAGATGATTTAAGATGATGAATGATAAAGATGATCGTTGGAATTTAGTTTGGTACCAACCGTTACACTTGTTGTTTGATGATATTTCTGACCCTCCTTTGCTGTTTTTTGCTGATATTGGCGGCAGTGGTAGGATGCTTGTGGCGAGGGATCTCTAAGTCCCTTTTGGCCTTTTGGTCCTCTGTTTGTGTTCTTGAGAGGATTGACTCTGAGAGGATTGACTCGCTGTCTGCTCTTGAGAGGATTGACTCTGATCATAACCCGCTTCTTCTGAAATGGGGTGATGTTGGGAGAATTAAAAAGCCGTGGCGGTTCGAAATCATGTGGCTGGAAGATGAAAGGTTCTTCAGAGATATTCCGGGTTGGTTTGAGGCTAATATTTCTGGGTCTGGTATGATTTTTCGTTGGTCAAAACGGCTGCAGGATCTGAAATCTAAGCTTAAATTGTGGAACAGGGAGACTTTTGGCAATATCAACACCAGGATAGAAGAGCTGCTTCGGGGTATTAATAACCTTGACATAATGGAAGAGAATGGGGATGTTTCCAGTGAAGTTCAAAGTCTGAGGAACAGTTATAAGATTGATCTTGAGAAGCTCCTTACTCTTCATGAGATCAGCTGGAGACAAAAGTCGAGGGAACTCTGGGTGAAGGTGGGTGAACGCAATTCGGGATTCTTTCATAGAGCTGCCAACTTCAGAAGGAAGTTAAACTACATTAATTTGATCAAAATTGATGGCGTCCCAGTGGAAGGCAGAGAAGAATTGGCTCAGGCTGTGGTTTCCCATTATCAGAATCTTTTCCTTGACAGGTTCCCTTTGCGTCCCTTCCCGAGGTTCCAGCTGGATTACAGGCTGTCTGATTTTGATAAAAATATTCTGTCTCAACCTTTCTCAGAAGCAGAGATTCTTGCTGTATTGAGAGACAGCGATGGTGGCAAAGCCCCGGGTCCTGATGGGTTTCCTATGGAGTTCTACAAACGATGCTGGGATGTGTTGAGGCCCGAGATTCTCAGCGCCTTTGGCGAATTCTATGATTCAGGTTTTCTCCCTAAATGTGCCGCGCATTCATTTATCTGCTTGACTCCCAAGAAAGACACGATTGAGGATATCAAAGATTTGAGGCCTATTAGTCTCCTGGGCAGCATCAATAAGCTCCTTAGTAAAGTTTTGGCGCGCAGGTTGGGTCTGATTCTGCCTAAGGTGGTTACACAGTTCCAGCATGCTTCTGTTCGTGGCAGACAGATTTCGGAAGCCGGATTGATTGCTAATGAGCTGGTGGATAGTCGGAAGAAAAGCCGGAAACCTGGTCTAATGTTCAAGCTTGATATAGAGAAAGCGTTCGACAATGTGAACTGGAACTGTCTTTTTAAAGTTCTCTCGTCTTTGGGCTTTCCGACGAGATGGTTGAAATGGATGAAAGGTGTTATGTGCTCCCCCATGTATTCCATTCTGATTAACGGTGAAGCCAAAGGCTTCTTCACTGCTCAAAAAGGGTTAAGACAAGGCGATCCTCTTTCGCCCGGTCTTTTTGTGCTCATCATGGATATTCTATCCTATATGATCTCTCGGCTTCAGCAGGAAGGCAAAGTTAAAGGCTTTTGTATGGATGAAGACCATGGGCAAGGGGAAGTCACTAATTTGTTGTTTGCAGACGACTCTCTTATCTTCTGCGATGCTTCTCAAGATCAGGTTCTGAACATCTTGGCTGCCCTGGTGTGTTTCCAGGCAGTCACGGGATTGAAAATCAACCTTGATAAATCGGTTATGTACACTGTGGGGGACGTCCCGGAGCCAAGCTTTTTCGCCTCCATTTTCGGATGTAATTGGAGTCGGGATCCTTCTATTTACCTCGGGTTTCCCTTGGGAGCTAAGCCGAATGGAGTTAGGATTTGGGAACCTCTCGAAGCCAGCTACAAGAAGAATCTCCAAGGATGGAAGGGGAGACATTTGTCCTTTGGGGCTCGGTTGGTTCTGATTAAATCAATCCTATCTAGCAAACCGGTTCATCTCTTCTCTCTACTCAAAGCTCCCAAAGGTACCATTAACAGACTTGAACAAATCCAGAGGCAATTCTTATGGCAAGGGACTGGGATCGATTTCAAGAGTCCCTTAGTTAGATGGGAGGTGTGTAAGGCCTCGAGGAACAACGGTGGCCTCGGCATTATTGACCTTGCCAGTTTTAACAGTGCTTTACTTGCTAAATGGGCCTGGAGATTTTCCGCTGATCGTGATAGTTGGTGGAAGAGTCTCATTTCTATCAAGTATCCCAACTCCTTGTCCTCTTGGCAGCCTGGTCGCATTCATGGTGGTTATTCGAAATCAGTCTGGTCCAACATTTGCAGAGATTTTGATAAATTTTGGAAGCTGGCTTGCTTGGACCCTGGTAGCGGGTCTGACGTTTCCTTTTGGCATGATTATTGGTGTCCCGGTAGCACCCTCGCCTCTAGATACCCCCGTGTTGCTGCTGCCGCCTTACACCCTGCTGCCCGGATCTCTGATCTGCACCACTGCTCAGGTGAGAATGTAGGGTGGGTTATTCCTTTAAATTGTTCTCTTCGGGGGGTGCTGAGCGAGAGCGGCTTGAACTCCTAAATTTTCTAAATTCTTCTGCTGCTGGTCGCATATCTAATGGTCCCGGTAGGCTGGTTTGGCTCCCAAATCCAGACTCTGGTTTCTCTGTTTCTTCTATGTACAGGACTCTGGTGGATGATCTTTTTCCGGGTGTTGCTAACTACCCCGTTGCGTCTATCTGGAAGGCTATTATCCCAACCAAGGTGTGTTTCTTCCTGTGGACTTTGTCGCATTTGAAGCTGCGTACGATTGACAAGTTGAAGAGCTGGGGGCTAAACCTGGCGAACAGGTGTGATCTTTGCAAATGTCAAGAAGAGACCGCTAACCATCTATTTGTGGATTGCGCCTTTGTCCGAGATGTTTGGAGTGGCATTACCAGAGCTTGCCCACTCGTGGAGCCGCCGCGTGGAGATATTGTTACGGTTCTTCAGTCTTGGCCTTCGGAGGTTCCGGATAATGTGAACTCCTGGTTTTCCTTTGCTGCGCTTCACTCAGTCTGTTGGCACGTCTGGCGGGAGAGGAATCGACGCATTTTCAATGATTGCAGTAGCCCCGCCAGAGTTGTTTCCAAAAATGCGTGTAAAGAGGTTATTGAATGGATTTCTGCTCATAACAAGGTGGATAGATATATTTGTTCTCAGTGGCTCAACGAGAGATTTCAGAGGATCTGATCATCCTGGCTCCTCGCTGCTCTGACGCGATTTGTGTGGATCCCCTGATAGTGCTTGGAGTTTGTCTGCTGTATCTGTGGCGGGCTATGCCTCTTTGAGTCTCTTTGGGGGCTGTTCACTTCCGCTGGGGGGTTGAGCTCGTCTGCTGCTCATTTGGTGGTTCTCCTGCAAGGTGTTCTTTGGTTGCTGCTGTTGTATTCTGTTGGGTCTATGTTAGTGAGGGAGGGTCTCGTAGCAGAGTTTGGTGAGAGGGCGGTGCTATGTTCGTCTCCTGTTGCTGGGTCTGGTTTTTGTGTCTTCGTTTTTTTCCTTTGTTTCCCGGCGAGTGGGAGCAGTCTGGTCTGCTTTTCTCTGTCGCTTTTTGTGTCCCGTGAGCTGCCTTCCTCTCTTGGCGCTCATGTTCGTTCGTTTGTTTTTTCTTTCTTTCTTTTTCTCTGTTCTTTCGGTTGTGGCTCTGTGAGATCAGGCCTTGTGATCTCCTTGTCTGTACAGTGTTTGTTTCCTTTTCTCTTCTTGCAATAAAATTCATCACCATTATCAAAAAAATAATAATAAATAGTGATGGGACCCACTAATTCCATATTCATGAACACAATTCCTATCACTTTTGATAGGAATTGTAATTCCCAAAACTTAGCCCAAATGGAATTCATTTCTCAACCTTCTTATCCTTCCAAACATAAAATATGGAACTGGAATTGAAAATGGAATTCCAATTCCTGAGTTTTTTGTCTATCCAAACAGGCTGTTAATGAAAACCACAAATATCCTAAAGCAGACTAGAAGTGATTCGTACTACACTAAAGCACTGGTGCAAAAATAAAAAACAATAGAAAATTTGAGAAATAGGCCACAAAACTTCTCTCAAGGATACCACAAACACCTCAATACATACCAACATCCCTAAAACGAACACTTACAAAAAATTGTAAAAAGCACACCACAAACTAGCCAAAGCATACCCGAAACCCTAAACAAAATGCAAGCGCCACAAATATCCTCTTCTTCTACAGCAGATGAATGAAACAGGAAAATGCATATGCTAAAAAAAAATTGAATATGGAAACACCAAACCGAATTCCTGAAAAGTGAAAACTAGGATTCACGGGGATAGCCGGAAGCAATAACGAAAATTAGATGTAAATAGATTCTGGACAGGCGACGAAAACGAGACGGCGATGACAGAATGGACGAACTGACAAATAGAGAGCGACGAGCACAAGTCGATTCAGACGGTTTCCGTTGTTTAGATCAGAGAAATTGTTCAGTACTGTAAATGCAAATTGATTATCAATGAGCACAAGGTTGTGTGAGATGAGCGAAGACTGCTAAGGTCGGAAACTGCGACAATGGAGGAGAGGGAATCCGGCAGAAAATTTTGAGAGCGAATCGTACCCATGAAGTCGCTCCAATAAGGGGATGGCGAGTAAATCGTACCCATGAAGTCGCTCCCTGGCAACAAACTCTGTAAGCAACCTATCAAAATTCATCACAGGCCACCCATACCGCCAATTAATTGGGATTTGGAACCAACGAGTTTCTTCAAACCGTAAAAATACCACACACCCGCTACCTTCCATCTGATATTGATAAATGTCTAGGGTCCGAACCAAATCAACATTACACACTGATGATGAGACACTATTCTCCTTCCTGAGAAATGTCACTGGGATCTTCTCCCATGGATTGCTGCACCAGCTGTGAAACAAGAACAGAACAGTGTCATATATATACACTTTCCTGAGGCATTCCAGCTAATAACTCAGCAGGAAAAAAGTTTGGGAAGAAGCAGTGGCTAAAAGATTAGACTTGACATACACAGGAGCCGACTCGCTCATATGCTTCCATTACTTTAGGATCTGACTCGTCTGCGTATCCAACTTGTAGTATGCGCGGTCCATTGACAGACCAAAAGTTTCTCAGACCTGCCTCCTGGTGTTGATTTGGAAACACATCAGTGCAGCAGGATAAAGTTAGCGATAAACTTGATAGGGATATTGGATGATAGAACAGAAGTGTCATGGAAATTGATATAATCCTGCGGCTGTATCGTAGCAAGGGCAGCCATTTCTTAAACCAAGTATAGGTCCCACACCTCTATAATTAGCATATATCTATCTCAATTACACTACACATTGCCAGAGATTACCTGCAATATAACCAAGTAAATAGCCTCTAGTGCTTGTACACGAATGCCGGGATCATCCCAGGGTTCACGTTCAAATGAGAGAGCGCTAGCAAGTTCAGGGGGCATTTTTGATAGATCTTCAGTGCTGTATATCTGAACATCACAAATAAGAAGGAACAAAAGGTAAGAGACAGAACTTGTTGTACTATCTCAGTTACCTAGAATAGAGTTCTATATATTCGCATATACATGTCCATGGCTTTGAAGGCTGCAGATCATTGAGCTGATAAATTAAACTAATTCTTCTTACTATCGGAAAAAGGGATACCTTGTTACCAGCAACAGGTAGCAGTAGAGCCGGCCATAGAAACTCAGATATTGAAAGCAAATGCTGGAGTTGATTTTCAGCGTCAAAACAGCAGTTATGGACTGTTCCAAATACCTATAAGTCAAACAACAAGGGTATTTAAGTTCAGTTTGCTAATTTAGCACGTGCAGCTTAGTGACCAAGTAGGAAACAATCCGGTTTCTCGAACTATTAACTCACAAAAGAATGAAGCAGATATTTTTGGGCTACTCAAAAACCAAAAAAACCTACTGAGAGTTTTAGGTCATGCTGGAGAACCCTTTATGTTTTAGACAAAAAAATAATAATAATAATTTGCATACATACTCCTTTCTTGCGCAGTAGACTAGTTGAATCAAACTGTCTGAGAATCTGCTTCAGCAGTCCTCGTTTAGAATCCAGCAACATTCTTCTTCCAGCTTCTTTCTTTGAGATGTTTACAAGAATTGAACCAACATGGTCAAATGGATCATCTGGTAGGCAAAATATCCCATTTCAGACCAAAGATTAAATAAACAGCTTGCAAAAGCAGAGATCAGAAAGCATCACAATCACCAAATTCTGACAAAATGATTATGGGGACTTAACAGCTAAAAAGACAATAAATATTCAGTACGATCAAAAGCGAAGGGAACTTACCTTCATTGTCACTGGAGGATCTACAAAACGATCTCACAAGCTTCATCACATACAATCCTTGCATCTTCTCATCATCAGCCTAAGAAACATATAGAAATTCCACCAAAAAGTTGGTCACTTAGTTCATTATACATACCACAATAAAGAAAGGTCGATTATTCTTGGATGCCACAAAGGCCTGGAAAGCTTTTCTCTTATTGAACAAGTTACTCTTGAAGAATTATTAACAGTTTCTTACAGGGGTCCGTACCTGAAGCAAGGATGAAATACCGGCATCCGACTGAGTGAGGTTAACCAAGAGCATTACTAGCAAGCGGGTAAGCGTAGAATTAGGTTTGTACAACAGATCAATGGCTGTTTTAATCATTCCCATATCGACCATCCTTCCACCCAAACTAGAGTTCTGTGAGAGATTCACAAGAGCTTCTGCTGCTGGCTCAGAGACTTCCTGGAAAAAGGTTCCCTTCTATCAAATTTCCACATGAAACATACATGATAGCTCTTTCAAGCAGCCTCTCAATCTGATGTCAATAGGAAACTACCCCACAAAAAAAAAAAAAAGTGATCTAAACGCAATGGGCAACAGTAAACCACAGATTATCAGCACGCAATCAATCACCTTGTTATCGCTTAAGAGCCGAGACAGAGAGGGAAGCAGACTGTTTGCATGTGTAGAAAGAGACATCAACCCATCCTCGGACCCAGTTAAGTCTCGAACAATACCAACCGCTGCCTTCTTCAGCTAACATGTTTATGTTCCGACAGTATAGAAACAATTAGTACATGAGCTATTATGCAACCCGAACCTCGTCAGAAATCCTCAACTGATACGAACTGGAAGCAACCCCTTTCGATTATATACCCGATTGGAGTCAACCCCCCACAAAAAGAAAGAAAAAAAATTGAGCAAGGCAATAGTTCTTACTGGCGAAGAAGGCGAGGAAAGAAATTCCAGCAATTCTTCGAGCTCCGTCGCCATGGCTGCCGCTCGCTTGCTCGCTCTGCCGCTGCCTAATTCCCTTGAACCCAAATTCCCACTCCCAACTCCCAAACGAAGTACGGGTATGCCCTCAAAATAAACTCAAAAAACGACATACGATAAGTGGTAGTGGATTAGTGGTGGACTGGTGGGCAAGGAGGTAGAGATTAGGGAAATTGCTGTTATGAGTATAAATCTCAAATCAGCATGATTTAGGGCAATTTTTAAAAAAATTTAGGGCGACGAATAGCGATTCAGATAACGGAATAATAGATTCAAAAGTCAAAATAAACTTCAAGGTCGTGAATTTTTTTATATTTCGCATAAAGTACTATAACTTTTATCATAACCATAATTTCGGAATGTACGTGCATTTTTTTAAAATAAAGGTAAAGTTATTCCCAAAATTCCATATATCGAAAAATACTTCATGTTTTGAAAATTCCTTCCCATTAAAAATCGTAGTCCTTTAAAATTTATGTGAAAGCGAAAAAAGTTCATGACGTCCGGAGTGTGTAAAACAAAGTTATGAACTGTCAAAGTTTGACGACAATGTAGTCAAAATCCCGATTTTGATCTTAAAATCTTATGATTTTACGATCTTACCTATGAGTTTCGATCCTAATTTTAATGTAAAATCTTTGAACCTTAAAATCCCATAAAATCCCGATTTAAAACTCTAAAATCCTTAAAATCTACGATTTTGTATGATTTCAATGTTCATATAAATTAGAGCAAAATAAGGTCGGTAAGGTCGTGTTTTACCCATGAACCGGGTCAAATTCACTTCTTCCTGCCCAATATAATCAACAAAACAACTCTAACCTAATAAAAGGCCCTCAATTGATTTTCGTTCTCTTCCTCACATCTTCGTTTTTCGCATGCCGACACCGAACTCCTTCCATCAATGATTTCCTCCACCCTCCCAATTAGCTCGTATTTTGTTCCCACCACCCTCACAATCAGCCCACTCCCCATTACATTGTAAGCTCTCATTTCATCTACCAAACATTCAACACCGCTATTCCCCGACTTTTATTGATCAAGTAGGGAATGCATCAATCAATGAGTTACCTTTGCCATATGATGGCAATCAAGAAAATATGGCTAATTTTGAAAGTGCTTGAAGTGGCCCTAAGAATAATGATATCATTCCTCGAGAAAATAGAAAATGATTCTACGAGGATGAGAGTGAGGATGAGGGTGTGGATGATGATGTGAGAGGCATGTTGATGTTGATCCTAACGATCTTATGTGATTTTCTAATCTTAACTACTAACCAAATTAAGTGATTTCTATAAGTTTTCATGTTGCTTATTTGTGTGTTTTGTTATATATAATAATTAATTTGTGGTTTTATTTGTTTTTATTTGGCAGACAAACTTATCTTGTGAAGTAATTAGGTCATATGTGGTTGACTATTATTCATTATATGAATTGTTATTACTGTCTGGTGTTTAAAGTGTTTATTTAAAGATGAACCTTAACATCTTACGATTTTAATCTACGATTCTGATTTTACCTCACTTTTCAATTTTACTTAAAATCTCGATTTTGACTGCATTGTTTGGCGAAATAAAAAAATTGCTCGTTCGGGGTAGCAAATGACATTTTTTTGGACAAAACAATAATTGCAACTTGCAAGATCTCGAAAAGTTATGCGGAATCAATTTTTTTTACTATGATTGGATACCTGAGCGCAAAGTTAAGTCTGTTTGAAGTTTCGGCCTAGGTTAGACGTTGAGCGAAAAAATTAAATGCAAACCGTTGGGTGGGGGCGGTGACGGCGATCTGCATTGTAAGTTGTAACCGCTCCTATCCCCGCGGTTTATCATAACGCCCCGTCACCATGCGATCTTTTGGAGACAGAAACGTAGAAACCACAAATCCCAACATTAGGTTAGGGTTTTTTTTACCCCAAGCACCTAAGGCATCTCCCCATGAAAAGGGAAGTAAGAAAACAAGGTGTAAAAGTGAGAATCATCATGTTGAGGCATTTAATTCTGGAAGTTAGCTCCAAAACTTCCCAAGCTAAAGGGCTCTTTTTCTCATAGCACCCTCTCTTCTTCCAACGGAAACCCTTTCTCCTACGGTCTCTAACTATGTTGGAAATTTGAGAAATACATACTCTCTTCTCTCGAAATCGACTTAGCTATATAGGCTCAGGGGACTAACAAGTTCACGGGCTGAGTTCATGACCTGCATTTTTGAATTACGAACATACCATAAATTAACTAACACATTCATAGTAAATTTCATAATCCCCACCATGGATAATTTTAAATTTATACAAATCACTTTAACTCATTTTATCGAAGAAAAGATTACGTATAATTATTCGATTTTGGACACCCCGACGGCAAAACTCTGGATTCGTCCCTAATTAATTACCCATACCTATTCTATATTCGATCATTCCGAAGATTGACTTTCATTGACTGGGTCAAATACCCACAATTGTGGATACAATTGCCATCTCTACTTTATAAATGAATCATTTGTACAACGCTCCCTGCACCTTATTTAAAGGAAGGGGAAGGGAGAAAAAAATTTGTGGCACGGTGAGAATACGTGTTTAATTTTTTTTTTTTTTTTTTTATGGAACGTGTTTAATTTTTTAGAATCATTTTAATGACCGAAACTGTTCAGCAAACTAGTCAACAAAGAGGGAGCCTGGAATCCTTCCTCCAATCTATCAAAAAGAAAAATTGTAATAGAACATATCGCGCTTATAATCGGTCCACAAACTTCATTCCCACCTCCATGGAACATTCCTGGAAATTGGAATGGTAGATAATAGAAGCCAAGTTGGTCGTGGAAGAACATAAATCAATATTTCCCATGGGAAACCAACCAATAAGTTCAAACTTACAACAACCACATGCATCAAACAAACCATCCAATTAACGAAAAAACACACACTTAATTGAGAGTAAAGTCCACTTTAGTCATATAATACACAAATTAAAGTGACGACATTTCTTGGTCAACCAAGTACGGCCATTGGACGATATCCTCCATTTTCTATATAAAAACACACACACACATAATCCCCATTTCAAAGCAACTCGTATCCAATCTAAACCAAATCCAACATGGCCCAAAAACTCAACCAAATCGTAGCTTCCCTACTCCTCATCTCCACCCTCCTCTCCGCCGCAACCCAAGCCATCGCCCGCCGCGACGACGAAGAAGAAGATTACGTAAATGCCCTCAACCCCAACCGGCTCAACCGTCGGCTCAAAAAACAGAAGCTGACCCACTTCCACTTCTACTGGCACGACATCTACAGCGGCTCGAACCCGAGCGCGATGCAGGTCGTGGCCTCCCCGGCCAACACCTCCACCACCGGGTTCGGGTTCGTGAGCATGATCGACAACCCGATGACCGTGGGGCCCGACATCGGGTCCAAGCTGATCGGGCGGTCCCAGGGGTTCTACGGCTCGGCGGACCAGCGCGAGCTGGCCGTGCTGGTGACCATGAACTTGGTCTTTTTGGAAGGGAGGTACAACGGGAGCACGGTGGCGCTGATGGGGAGGAACCGGATCGCGGCGGGGATCCGGGAGACGGCGGTGGTCGGCGGGACCGGGGTTTTCCGGTTTGCGACCGGGTATGCCACGGCTAGGACTCAGAGGTTTAACCAGACTAGCGGGGACGCGGTGGCTGAGTACAATCTTTATGTCTTGCATTATTGATTAAAAGAATTATTATTATTATCTTTGTGATGAATTTTTCTTTACGTACCTAAATACTGCACCGACCGACGTTTCTTTTTAGCTGGTGGTTGATTTTAAGAGTTTAGTACATGTTGATCGGGGTTTGAATTCTGTCGTGCATTGAGGTTACGGTCATCCTGATGTACGGTCTTTGGCCTTTTTGAATATTTTTTATATTATAAAATAAAGTACAACTATATGATTTGTCATACAAAATGATTCGATACTGCAATTTCCAATCACAACTAGCCAACTCAGCACTTACGTCAGTCCAGTCATATTGTTAAGTGACACCGTTAAAAAGATGGGCGAAAGTGGCTATTTTGTGTATTTTGAAAGTTGTGGCGATAAGTGTCACAAATGTGAAAGTTGTGGCTATGGAAGTGTATTTTTGTATATACTTTATGTTATTTGTATACTCTGTATATATTGGTTTGTAATACAAGTTTTAGGATTTTTTTTCAGAAATACCACAAAAGAAATTCCAAAAAAAACATCCATTTCCGAAAAAATTCAATATACAATCCTTTTCAACAAACTGCCACCCCACCCCGCGGTTTTATGAATAGTTTGTTGAAGTTCTAGTGGATTATGTTTATTTGGTTGAATTAATTGCCTATTCATGCATTGATTGTATATGAATGATAATTGACTCGTGAAGGTGGCCATCCAATTGGATCAATCTTAGATCTGAAATCAAGTATAATAGTTAGGTATCTACATGACCATTGATTTACCTAGTTATATGGTTTGTGGGTTTGTCTTTAAATCAAGAACTATGTTTAATCTCTAGCTATGATGGTCAATTTTACATGATCATTAAGTTGATTACCATAGCTAGAAGGGCAATTCGGTGCATGACATTGACCCAATTGCCTCATTAGAGATTCTCACACATAGACACTAGTAGGGGTGGCTATACGGTCCGATTAAATTGGCCCGAATTAATCCAGTCTCAGACCGATCTTTTTGGGAATATAAGAACCAAAGATTGGATTAGATACAGTCCGGTCATGATCCGGTCTTGTCCCTATTCGGTCTTGATTTTAGATTGAACTTGTGGGGATTTGAGTGGCGTGAGACCTCAAAGGGTGAGGAGTTGGTTAAGTTTTGGGTGTTGGGGTCTCTTATCCAGTCTTTTTTCGGTTTTTTATCCGGTCTCAAACGGTTTTTAACCTCAAATCTAAACCCGAATATGGGATTGGATTGTTTGCTATCCAGTTCCGGTTCCGGTCCCGGTCCGGTTTATACGGTCTGATTTTGGGTAAAACCAAATAGCCCAGACCAAATAGCCAGCCCTAGACACTAGGAAGGAAACCAATTGAATTCTTGATTATCACATTCTCTTGAGTTAGGTTAGGGGAATCAACCCGAGGTACTCTCTCTCTCTTGAATTTTAGGTTAACTGCAAATGTAGGTTGTAAGTTGATAACTTCATCAATTTTTAGGATATATAACAATTTGTTCATGTAAGTATTGATAGTTTTCCTATCCCTAGTAATATGACCTTGGAAGGATCACCACTAAACTACTTCGTCAATTTAGAGTATACTTGATCTAGAAAGAAGTTGCAAGTAAAAGGTACCAACCAAGTTTTTTTTCTTACTTGAGTTGCTAGCACTACAAGAAAATTGGCTTTTAGAGGCTAAACTATAGTGACAAATATTTTAAAAGCCTTCAAAAGTATTATATAGCAACAAATACATAATGTGCCGCTAAAATCATCAAAATCTGTCGTTGATAGCCTAAAATTTCTCTTATCTAAATATTACTGAAAATAAATTAATCTTTTACCGTCTAAGACCTGATAATTGCCTTTTAAAGTCTTTGATTATTTCCTTTTAGAGCTATAGAGGCACATAAATCACCTATCGTGGCAAATAAACTTAGCCGCTAATTGTCATTTTTCTTGTAGTGTAGTACAATAGAAAATCATGGTTGCGAGCTCATAAAGAAGGTGAGGTATGTGAAATTTGGGATCGTTACCAAGGTTTACTCTGATCCTACACACATTATGGGTTTGACTCAGAGCAACTAGAACACTTGGCTCTGCAAAAAAATTAGATGGTATCTCATGGCTAAAATAGTTTACCTATAAGAAGATGGGGAGTTAACTCAGTTCAATGTTGCATCTACAATGGAACATTATGAATCTATAGCTTGCGTAACTAAAATCTGGACGGGGAGAATAGCCCCTAACTAGTGAATGTCATACAAACTCACCCGTATCCTTATACCATGTTGTTGCACAAACAAGAATATCGAGCTTCTATCGATATGGAATAATGTGTAGGATAGAACTAAGATAGATTTGGGGATCGCGAATAATAATTAGGGATTAGAACATGATTTGGGGAAGAACAAGATTAGGGATTGAGAAGATTTGGGGACGAAGAAGAAGAATGGCCAAAGCCTTTTGGGAGGGAGGGAGAGACGAGATTGAGAGAAAAAGAGAGATTAGGGTTTTTGGGATAATTCTTCTATTGTTCAGATTAATTCTCACGTAAAGTACATATATACAGGAAAGACTAGAATATACTGATAAATGACCTAATACGACTCAAATACTACAAATTCTAATAATAATTATCCTGCCATAATTAACAATAGAAACGCACACGGACCATGTTTCTATCATTCTCTCCCCCTTAAAAACAACCTTACCCTCAAGGTTGTAACCAATTTCAGCATTGTGACAATGGTTCAATTGTGTTTTGTGCTTCCTCGTTTTCCAATTACGTAGAAGTACTCAAACGACGACTCCTACCCAAGCAGCTCCAACGGTAGTGAACTTCTCATTGGTGATGTTGCAGCCAATTCCTCCCCACGTAGCGCTCCAACTTGCCATCCACACCTATACGAGTCTCAAAATTATCGGTAGCATTCATCAACAATTTTACCGCATTTTCTGCCTGAAGGAAGGACAAATTGACAATCTGTTCTTCATAGTTTTCTTCTTGCTCCACCAATTTCAGTGCTTCACGCGTTCCCTCCAAGTAATTCTTGCTCTCCAATCTCACAATCGTATAATGAAAAATAGAGTGGATGGCCTTGAAGTGGATATCTTGGAAAATAGAAAAATGTTGATAGGCTTGTCAAAGACACAACATTATCAAGGGAGCTCCAGGATGTATGAAACATCCTGACCAAAATACACAATCTACTAGATGCACATGAGCATAAGCTTTTGGAACCAACTCTTAAGGCTAATAAGAGGGATATTGAACCCCCTTTGAAGACTGGTACTTTAAGAAAGGGAAGAGAGACACAGTTAGTTCCTTCCAAGGTGTCCCCTGGTTAATAAAAGTAAGAAAATCAATAAGGGGTTACAATGGTACAAGGGAAACCTTAAAATCCACCTACCCAACCCCTAGGGATGGTCCAACTCGATCCAGTGAGGGTTCTAACTCTGTTTCGGCCAAGGTTGTCAAACCGGTTTATTCCAGTGTGCCAGTTTAATAAGTGGAATGGTTCGACCAGTGGTATATACCGGTTTGTGCCGGTTCACGCCGGTTAATATTACAAATAATTTACAAAAATACTCATATTTAAACACGACATTTAACGTCAATACCTAAATATTTGTACTTGGATCCAACAAATAACATCAACATTTAACTTTTTAACACATAAAATGAATAATAAATTATGTTTTATCAATTAAATTCACTAAGATAAGGTCATTTTACTTGGAGCTTAGTATATCGATCATACCGGTCATACCGGTGGTGTCATGCCGATTTTATGACCGGTACAAGTTGAACCAGGTTCAACCAATGACACGCCGGCGGGCGTGACAACCAAAAAGAACACATAAAAGGTAAATTTGCCTATAAATCTTAATCCAATGAATTTTATGCCAGAAGCTCTTAATCCTCCTCAATTCAACAAAGGCCAAGCACAACAGGATGTTGTGTTTACAAAAATGCTTGATAAGTTAGGAAAAATCAACATCAACGCGCCTTTCATTGAAACAATTGCCAAAATGCCACAAAATGCCAAATTCACTAACAAAGTGTTAGCCAAGAAGAATAAACTAGCATTTATATCTTCTGGTACACTAGGCGACGAATGCCCAACCATCCTAAATTAATATCCAACATCCAAATGACCCATGTCAAGGACTAGCTGATCTCATAATTCGAGTTGTCAGAAGATGTTCAATTACAGATCATATACCATTTACTAATGAGCACTTCTACTATGCTATATAGTATTGGTGCTTTAATGTACAACTCAAAGTTGTACCATAACATTAAATGTATAAGTTTAGGTTGTACCATAAAGCAATTTGTATCATTATGTTATGGTACAGCTTTATAACTTGAAATTGTACCATCACATAAAGGTACAAGTTCAAGTTGTACCATAAAAGAATTTGTACAAAAAGTATATGTACAATTTGAAGTTGTACCATAACGTAAATGTACAATTTTAAGTTGTACCATAAAGGCAAAAACCTATAGCACCAATACTATATAGCATTGTAAAATTTCTCTTTACTAATAGACATCTTCGTTAACCCATATCCGTCAACCTCGCCCTCAACACTGGATGTCGCAGCCCATAAATCTTATAAAAAGCATCATCGTCATCTTCACCTTCCAACGTTTCCAACTCAAATCCTTCATCGTCGCTGCTAAGTACCTAAACCCACATCGATTCGATTTGAAAGGTCAACTTCATCTTCCAGTTCTGCATATCGACGCAACGATGAGGGTTTGAAGAGACCAATGAGGGTTTCTGCCCGCTTTGTTAGTTGTCGTCATCATCTCAACAGCTGGAATCCAAGCAAACTTGCACCTCGTCGGCCTGAAAATAAATCAAAGCAAGCTCAATTTAATTACCAACAAGCTCGATCAGTCTCAAACGACCCCAACTTTTGGTCAAGAGTCCAGCTTCGATACCATAGGTGTCATGCCGATGGCATGAGACCAACAAGAATACCATTGGCATGATTGATTTACGAAGTCTAAGGAAAATGATGTCGTTTTAGTTAACTTAATTAATAAAAAAATGATGTCTATTTTGTATCCAAACCCTTTTCAGATTCTTTTATATTACCCAAACCATCAAATGCTATTAATTAGCCAAATCTTTCGAAATGCATCAAAATATTAGTCATTTTTACATTATCATTAATAACTTTGTAACTATTTTCTTAGTTAAAATATTAAAATTTTGTAATGTTGACATTCATGTGTCTCTTCTAAGTCAGTATCATGTTGCCAAGTCAATATTACTAACAAAATTCCTAACTGGAAGTGAATGTTTGGCTAATTAATAGCATTTTAATAGGTTTGGATAATATAAAAAGATTCTGAAAAAGGCTTGGATAAAAAATAGTCATTACCCAAAAATAAAATCATTATTTATTTTATGAATTTAATAGTTAAAGTTTATATAATTTGTTAGATTCAAGCATAAACATTTAGGTATTGATATTAAATATTGTATTTAAATACGAATATTAGTTATTTTATTTTGAATTTTATTTAAATATGAATATGGATAGTAAGTAAATTGTCTACAAATATGTTTTATATAGAGTTAATTGCAAGGATGGTCACTGGGTTTACTAAAACCATTCATGTTTGGTCACTGCAAATATTTAATTCCATTCATGGTCACTAAGATTAGTTCAAGTTTGGTCACTCTCCGTTAGTTTTTGCTGATGTGGCAGTCAACTATTATAGTTGACGGTTAAATGAGTGACGTGGTCATTAAAAAAATAATAAAATAATAAAATTTAAATATTTACCATTTCCACCTCATTTTACCACTATTAAAATAATAAAAATAAAACTTATCTCCACCATCCACGCCACCGTGGCCATGACGCGATCTGTCTCCGCAGCCGCTACTTCCTCAACGCCACCCCCAGTTTGAGGTTTAGTTAATGGATCTCTGACCTCTGCCCTTTCTATCTCGAGTTCAGAGTGGGGGCCCGACGAACCTCATTAATCAAGCCACACTTAAATTAGATGATTAGAATTTCTAATTAGTTTAACTTTGTCAGAGACAGACAGAGAGAGACTGTATGTATGGCTTTGCTGAATGAATACTGGACTGGTGGCATCACTCGCCGCCATTCCTTCCCACCAATAATCACTCTGTCTTTCTCTCCTGTTCCCAAGCCCATACATCACATTGTCTCTCATATCATATCATTCCTCTTTATTACTAGAAAGTAGAAACCACTTCTCTGCTCCTTTTTATTTCACTACGCCTCCTCTAAACTCTTGTCGTTCCCAATCCCAAATTGCCATAATTCGTTCCACATATGGAGACTGAGCTAGACAAGAGGACTAATGCAGAGGAGGCAGCAGCAGCGACCAGAGTCTTCCCCTGTCTCTTCTGTTCAAGAAAATTCTACAGCTCCTAGGCTCTGGGGGGCCACCAAAACGCTCACAAGAAGGAGAGGAACGCAGCCAAGAAGGCCAAAAGAGCATCATCAGAATACGCCGCCGCCGCCACGCCGTCTCCGCCTTTGGTTTTCTCTCCGGCAGCCCACCACCTGGGAGTCCCGATCGCGTCATGGCCACGGTAGCGTAGATGGCGGAGGTAAGTTTTATTTTTATTTTTTAATAGCTGTAAAATGAGGTGGAAATGGTAAATATTTAAATTTTATTTTATTTTTATTTTTTTAATGGCCACGTCACTCATTTAACGGTCAACTGTAATAGTTGACTGCCACATCAGCAAAAACTAACGGAGAGTGACCAAACTTGAACTAATCTTAGTGACCATGAATGGAATTAAATATTTGCAGTGACCAAACATGAACGATTTTAGTAAACCCAGTGATCATCCTTACAATTAACCCGTTTTATATATGACTATATTTATGTTTATAATTTTTCACATTTCTATATATTTTGTTAAATCAACATGAACCGATACAAACCAATTGTTCCATTAATAAAACCATTCCACTTGTTAAACCGATACAGTGGTATATATAAACCGATTTGACAACCTTTTTCGTCATTGAGCTGGACAAGCCCGTTCATTGGGTTATTATACCATGCGCCGTTGTGGACAAAAGGCGCCAAAACAGTTGCCGGGAAAATCACAGTGAAAATACAAGCGCGCCAAACTTTCAAAAAACCACTAAATGGCGAACCAACCAATCCCCCCAAAACTCCCTCATCCCGCCATTTATCATCCTCGGGCGCTCCTCCATTCTTAGTTTCACCATTCCCTTCGCCTTTGAGAGATCAAACTCCAGCTGAGAAACCCCCTCCAAATGGATATCTCCGAAATCGCAAAGCGGCTCGGCCTCTCCGACTCCAAGCAACTGGTTCGGAAAGCCGCCGAGATCCGCCGTCTCTGCGACGTCCAGTTCGACTCCTCCGTCATCGGAGTGGTGAGTCGTCCCCTCGCCTATCATTATCGATTCGTCGATTCCGTCTTTGGGTTCGTTCTCTCTGCTTCCTTTTAATCATTATTGGGTTTTTTTCGTCTTCTGATTGTAGGGGGAGGTATCTAAGGCTGTAATGTGCTTGGAGATTGCCGCCACGAGGTATTTCTTCTGATCTCCAATCGACGATTATTATATTCCGTATCACTTAGCTTAGTTATCGTGATTTTGATGAACTGGGAATTTGATTGGGCAGGTTTCAAGTGATATTCGATAGACGGGCAGCAACAAAATTGAGCGGATTGTCGGAGAAGGCTTACACCAGATCGTTCAATCTGCTTCAGAATAGCATTGGTGTCAAGTGGGTTCTTTGCTATGCTTAATTTAGGGTTCAAGTTCAATTTTTCTTTCCCTTTCTTAATCTAAGTTGTGATTGAGTAAATGGGTTCTGTGTCGCTGATGGTTTTGGGGGGTTTTGCAGGACAAAGCTGGATGTGAGAGAATTGGCTATTCAGTTCGGATGTGTTAGGATCATCCCTTCAGTGCAGAAGGGTTTATCACTGTAAGATTCTTTCTCACTGGTTATCACTTTTAGGATCGTTTTGATGGAAGCTCAAGTGTTCAATGCATTGTGTGCAATGTGTTTGTGAAAATGCCCCTCAGAATCAAGTTCCTAGCTTGGCTGATTGGCTGCCTCCTTTGTTATGGTTTTGCTGGGATTTAAGCATTACTTGCTTTGGTGGTGTTGGGTGACTGCTCGGTTTTATAACTTTTATTTCGTTACTTAACATCAAATCTTTCGATTCTAGGTACAAGGACCGGTTTCTTGCATCTTTGCCAGCTTCAAGGCGTGCGGGTGCTGACTTCACCAGGCCTGTGTTCACTGCTGTTGCATTCTATCTTTCTGCAAAGAAGCAGAAAGTAAGTGATGTCTTTTTATATCACCTTGATTTGAGGAAGTAGTAAGGATCTCTTGAGTTCTTAGCTTGTACTGAGTCAATGGTTGTATACTTGACAGCTGAAGATAGACAAAGATAAACTCATTGAAGTATGTGGCACATCCGAATCTGAATTCCTATCTGTAAGACTCACAATTTTACTTGAAATCTCTTGCTGCACATAACTTCAGTTCAAGATAAATCGATGTGCTAATTTGAAATTTGATACGTAGGTCTCAACCTGCATGAAAGATCTCTGCTATGATGTCTTTGGCATCTCAAAGGAAAAGTTGGATCCAAGAGAGGTGAAAGGGAACCGAGGTACTTTTCTCTCAAATGGAAAAAAGCATATAAATTTGATCAACCATGGTTAGTTTATTGAAGCTTGTTTCTGTTCATTTTATTGGTTGCTCTGATTCATCATTTAACTGGTACCAGATTTGCTTGATGCGTTACCCGAGAAAAGGACGGTGGAGGAAGGCGGTTATCTATCTGATGATGGACCAGAGGTACTACTACTGCAACTTACATTTTTACTTAATGTGTATACATCAGTTGCCTTGAAGAATAGATAACCATTGCCGAGAGTAATGCATACTTATGGATGCTAGTTGCATGTTTTAGTATCTTGGTCAGTGTTGAATGGTGGTTGCCTTGGAACTGAAATCCTCCATGGAACTGAGATTGTACGATTTGATTATGAACCCTTTGGATTGGTGAATGATTTTGCTGAATTGGTGACACAATCAATGTGCAGGTTTCCAGCTACAAGAAGCGCAAAAGGACGGAGAAGGCAGGCTATGAGAAATGGAAATCCACTGTGATGGAATCGAATAAGAATAACTCGAAAGGTGGAGAACGATTGTCCATCAGGTTCTTGATTTCCAACCTATTCCAAGGTTGAAGTGACTTAACTTTTGCTGGTTTGTTTCAGGTTCCTGCAAGAAAGCCAGGCAAACTAGCCTCAACTTTCTCAGAGAAGTTCCTAATGGCAACACAAATGAACTGGAGGCTTAACTTGAGGGATAGGCTCTCTCTAGTCTCTACCCTGGTGTACTTGTGTTCTTCCCATCATCAATTTTGTTTCCCATCACTGTGTACAGAATCACAACCGCCAGTTTTGGAAATCACAGCTATGATATCCTACAGCTTAAATTAATTTTAACAACTACCATATGAAGCTCTGCACTGAAGCTCTGCACTGCTAAATGTCACTAATATTACTATTATCGTCCTAATTTAAAATAATTTTTTTTATAACCATCCTTCTTAACACAAAACAAAAGTTTCGTGCAACTTAAGAGATAAATTTTATTTTTTGAGTAAGTGTGATACTTTGAATCTGAAAAGTATTCTAGCAAAGCAATTGAATTTGATTTTGTAGAAATATAAATTCCATTTGTGTATGGACTACTGGGAAAGATACGGTACCTGATTATTTGTGTATGGACTACTGGGAAAGATAGGGTACTTAATTGGATTTGGATCCACCGGGACTGGCGGGGCTCGAACCCGCAGCTTCCGCCTTGACAGGGCGATGCTCTGACCAATTGAACTAAAAGAGAAATATGATAGGAACTACCGTTTTACTTGAGGAAATGGCGAAAGCTTTCCAGATCCTTTTCTTATTCTTTGAGGAAAGGCAGGTGTTTATTGCTGATCTTATCAAGTACGGGATTTGCTTCGATAAGCCAGCGCCTAATAGAGCTTAGCCATGTGTAGATCGAAAAGGTCTCGCGAAGCCGGCCAACGTCTGGTAGAGTAGGAGCCAACAAAGGAAGTCATGTGCTTTGTGGCCTCTGTATCGAGATAGCACTTTGGATCTGCTGGAGAGTTCAGCGACATGGCTGAAACCTTTTAAGTAAAAATGGCATCGATTACCAATCCTCGATAAAGTTTGTAATTTCGGGTTTGTTTGGAGAATTTTAGTATCAATCTCTAGATTGTAACCAATTAAAAAATTATAACTTTTTACATTGTTAAAAAAAAAAACTTTAAATTTTGCATTTTTATGGTAATTGCGATACTTTCTCCAAATTAGCCCACTAAATCTGATATTTTCTTCTCTTTTATGGGCCTAAATTTGGATTAGCAGGTTAAGCGCAGTTGTTATGGGCCTAAATATGGCTGCAGGGCTCAAAAGTCCAAAAGCCCCAGAGGGCATAGGTCCAGATTTTGTTTCTGTCCCTGCTGCCTACGTGTCCTAACCACAAGTTTTTTTTTCGTTTTATAATTTTAGAAGTTCCCAGCCGACACATTCAGTCATTCAGGAAGTGAGGCCAGTTTCCAATGACAGTCAAATTGGGCGCCTTTCATTGTTTGTCACCTCTGACTTTCATATAAAAGAAAAATCATATTTGATTAAAAATAAATAAATCTTACAACTTCTGGCCTACTTCTTCTTTCGGTTATTGACCATTTTGGCTCATGCACTATGCTTCAGTTACGGAATACACCCCCGACTTTCATACTTACCTCGGTTTTGGCTCTTGTACTATATGATGTTAATCAAGCACACAATCTCCCATTTTATGCTTTGGTCCGAAACTTGTTAGAAGTGGAACCCGTCGGCTTGGTAAGAAACAAGGAAGAGGAAATGATGAGATCATCCCTCTCATAAATGTAAGGACGTTCAAAAAAGATTTTTACTCGCAAATTCGATGTCAGCCCTGGAAATCAACTTGAAACCTCAGTGGTACCATTTGGACTTATAATACACCAGATTCCTAAATTTGTATGTTCGATGGATTTATCTTTAAAATGTAGAATGACTTACTCCGCGTTAGTAGTCCAACTCATCCAAACTGATAACTAAAAATTTCTTTCATAAAGATCATCTGATTAGTTATCGAGAAATGAATAGGGTTATTTCCAATAATATTGATTGGAATTGGGCGGAGCAATGTGTCTGACTTAATTGAACATGTTGTCCATGCCAACTAAATAAGTTGAGGGATCCGATGAAGAAGATGGATGAAGTGAGTGTTTGTTAGTTAAATTAAGCTAAAACTTTCATGACAAATTTGTCAAAATGAAAGATTCAGTGACTTTTTGGTCAGTGACCCCAAAGTATAATGACCAACAGTGTAATTGATCGGTGAACAAGTGACCACCCAGAACAGGCCGCCTGTTGTCGTTCGTTGTTGTGGTGGAACAGTGACGAGGACTAAACCGCACCAATAATAGTGTGCCACGTATCACCCTAATTCGAGATTCCCACTGATAGATATTTTACAAAGAAAAAAAGAAACACATGACTTTTCTTTTCAGCACCAAAAATGAAAATATTTATTTAAATTTTCCTTACGGAAGAGGAAAAGCTTCGCTCTTTAATTCACTCTCTTTCCTCGCTGTGTGTCTGTGATTGGATTGATTCCCTCCCCTCTCACTGTAAGCTTCCGAATCTTCAATCCTCTTCTTAACCTAAAAATCCCCAAATTATTTTTTCTTAATCGGTGGCTGGCTGCTTCGAAATTATTTTTTTAATTTCCCCTATTATATTATACCTTGCGGCAGCGAAATACTTCCTTCATAATTCCATTGCTTTCTCCTTCATCGTGGAATTATCGCCCCTTTTCACTCCCTTTCCCCTCCTTTTGTCCCTGTTCTCCCGTCGTCTTCCTTCTTCTGATCGCCGTCGTGCTGCGTTGGGGGAAATATAGAAAAGGGGGGTTTTCTTCTTTTTGGGGTTTTTTTTTCTTCTTCCTTCTCTATTTGGGGGTTGGGGATGCATATTTGATGATTATGGGTTATCAAATCTCGGACGAATTGCTGGGTACGTTTGTTCCGATTGTGGTGTATTGGGGTTATTCAGGGATATATTGCCTCTTGGAATGGCTCGAGGATTATAGGTTGCACTCGAAGCAGGACGAGGACGAGAAGAATTTGGTCTCCAAATGGACTGTCGTCAAAGGCGTCCTCTGTCAGCAAACTGTTCAAGCACTTGTTGCTACCCTCTTGTTTGCGGTACGCCTTTCTTTCCCTTTGCGAATCAACCGTCGATGGCTTGTTTTCTATTGAACTGGGTCGGGAAAGCTTTCATGATTCACCGGCAGCTGCTGATACGTTGTCCTGAATTGGGAAATTTGGGTTTGCTTTAGCTTTGGTGAAATGGAATCACTTAACTGGCAGGAGAACTTTTTTGTGAGGATCCTCTGCTGTTTTTTTTTTTAGGAAATCCCACACTTATCTTGTAGGAAGTTGATTGATTTACTGGGTTTTTTTTCGGGTGGATAGTTAAAGACAAGTGTTGAACGTTACAATCTAATCTAAGTTGGGGAGTCTTATAATATTGTTTCGAGTATGGAAGAAAAAGTCTGGATGTGCTTTCACCTTTCTTGGCTTCTGCTGCTACTGGAACCAAGTAAGAAGAGATAGCTAGTGGGTTCCTGTTACTTCAGTCGGCAGAATTTTCTTATTTTTGTCCAATAGTTGGGAAGCTCAATGATGCAGAGGACGGGTTGACAGTGATTGGAGCTATGCATAGTTCTCGTGAAACCATTGTTCTGTTCCGGTTTAAGGTTAGGTTGAGGCAATTCTGCCGTTGATGGATGATGAAACCTTGCGCTTTGAATTGTGGAAGACATAATTGATCCATGTGGAGTATTAGATTTGCCTTGTGCTAAAGGGAATGTTCGCTAATCAGGGGGTCTCATAACTTTGCCAATTATGTTAACGAGAAAGCGACTGCAAGAGCTCTTGAGATATATTCTTTGGAAGTTATTTCTTCTTCAGAATTAAACCAGAGAGGAAGAGCCGTGTTGTATGTGTTCAACTTGGCTAGTCCATTTTTGTCACACATCAGACACAGAATAGCATGTCATATGTTATCCTTCTTTGTTACTGCGCAGATTCTCTGGCTTTCAGTATGTTCCTTTCTTTGGCACAATGTGGTCAAATATGTTTCTTTCTTTGTCCCTTTGCTTCTTGCGGGGGAGGTTTCGATTGCTATTCCTATCTCTACTGAGCCAAGAGACCAGAACATATAAACATTAAATAATCTCTACTGCTTTGATTCCCATTTTGCTATGCAGGTGATGGGAAGCGATGATGAAGCAGCCGGATCCGGCCAGCGTCATTCTCTAACAGTATTGGCTGTGCAGTTCATCACAGCAATGGTGATCCTAGACACTTGGCAGTATTTCATGCACAGGTTCATGCATCAAAACAAGTTCCTCTACAAACACATCCATTCGCAGCACCACCGTCTAGTAGTTCCATACGCTTATGGAGCTCTGTACAATCACCCGGTGGAGGGTCTGCTACTCGACACCGTTGGTGGGGCCCTGTCATTCTTGCTCTCCGGCATGTCCCCCCGAGCCTCCATTTTCTTCTTCTCGTTTGCCACCATCAAAACGGTGGACGACCACTGTGGGTTGTGGCTACCTGGGAACCCCTTCCACTTGTTCTTCAAAAACAACACTGCTTATCATGACATCCACCATCAACTGTATGGAAGCAAGTACAACTTCTCTCAGCCGTTCTTTGTAACGTGGGACAGAATTCTGGGAACCTATATGCCGTATTCGCTTGAAAAGAGACGAGGTGGGGGATTTGAAGCGCGGCCTGCTAAAGAGTTCAAGGATGATTGAACTTGAATCCTTAGGGGGGAAGAAGGCATTGTTGTTACTAGGATGTACCACCACTAATTGTGTTTTTGCTTTTTTCTTAAATCTCAATGATATTTGTTGTGCTTTATTTGCTATGGGTATTCATGAGTTTAAAAATATCTCTAGAGAGGAGAAGAGAGACGTATCTCCATGTAAAGTTCAATGCATCTTTTCCATGGTTCAACATGATCTGGGACTGTGACACTGTTATTTTATGCAGCTTCCTGTTGAATCTTTTGGTGACTGGAAACTGACTGTCGCTGCCTTTGCTTTTGATAAATGTTAATTAATGACTATCTAGTTCAGGAGCATTTTCAGGGGTGGCCAATGATCTTTAGTTGCATTTACTGGCTCCATTGTTGATATGATTGCAACTGTACTATGGCCGGCTGATTTGCAGCTTCGTCGGGAAGTTTTCAGATAGCGCCATAAAGAGCAAGGATAAAAAGGTTGATGCAAGTTGAACAGATGAGCACAAATTCCCTCTTCGGCTTGTCGATTGAACAACTTTCACTGAATGATTCCTACCAGGAACCAAGGGCAGATATCTCTGTTGGCGATCGCGATCTCGATCTCGCTAAACGCAGGCTCAAAAGCATTCCATTATACTGGCAGCATAATACAAACTAGTGTAAACTGCAGTTTATCTGCATTCGCGCTTTTGCTACGAATCAATGATCCAAAAATATGAAGCTGGCAGTAGAAGATCAGGGTATAATAGCTCTGCCGTTTGTGACTTTCACACTGGGAAAATGTTGAATAAAAAACTTTCACCATTATATTACGTGGGGAATTTGTAGAAGAAAAGAACCCACAAAATGAACCCTATCTCTCAGTTGACTAAAGATCTCCCTGGCGCTTTATCTGGCTTCTCCTGAACATCAATGGAACCGGTTTTTGAAGCACAGACACGTTGATGCCGTTCCACACATCTGGTTTTGTGGGGAGTTGGGCGATCTTCTCAGCAATCCCCATGTCCTCTGGCATCACAGAGCCAAACACTGTGTATTCATGCTTCCATTCTGGGTGATGGGCCAGGCTGATGAAGAACTCTGGCCCAGAGCCAACCCATGCAACCGAACCCCTTCTCACCGTTGGACAAGCTTCTTTCTCCACTCTTTTGAACGGTGTTCCCTGAGCTTCCACTACTCCTTGCACCAAGGCAAATGGAGGCCCAAATGCAGCCTGCAAAATTTGGCCAACTCGAGATTGAATATATATACTCTAGAAAAAAAAAGCTCCAGAAGATGAGAGGATTTTGTTTTAGTTTTTACGTTAGCTATGTGGTTTCCTTCCGAGTCCCATGAATCCCCCCGGCCTTCTGCACGGTAAAACTGGCAGCCAGCGCAGTGGCGCAAGGTTAGCAACTCCAGGATGTAAGCTACAGAACGTGGTGCACAGTCTGGAAAAAGCTGCATAAACATCAAGCAAGCACTAACTCATTCAAAGGAAGCATCATTCACATGAGATGAGTACCATAACTCAATTCGCCGTCTCAAGAAGCTCCTAACTATTGTTCATCAGCTCACTAGACCAAATTAAGCTGGCCAAAAAACTATGAAAGGAAGAAAGAGGAAGGCTTACTTTGATGTGAAGGGTGCCATATTCTGTTTCCAAGCCGACAATACCCTGAATTGGAGTAGAAGAAGAGCAAGCTAAAAAGAGTAAACAAAGAAAGAAGAAGGGCATATATGGTGGACGATATGGATGGAGATATGGTGGTTAAATAGGTTTACCTCTCCTCTCCCAAAGACGAGCCCAGAAGTCCACATTGTAGTCTCCCCAGCTCCCTGCCTATCAGGATCCAATACATCTTTCTGCTTCTTCAACCAACACTGTCACCCAATTTCACCATTAATACATAAAGCACATATAATCAAGAAGCTCGCTCAGTATGAGACCAGAATTCAACCTCGCCGAATTTGGGGCCGCAAGCCTCTTTGTCCCCGCAGAAGACCCAGGAATCGCAGAGGCAAGGCCCTTGGTTCCCACTGCACAGCGTCTTGCAGGCCTGGCAGCACTCCCGGGAGGAATTGAACTTGAATTCCGATCCCCACTTCACCGCCTGCCCCCACAGCTCCAGCTTCTCGATTCCCCTGCAGCAGCCGCCGTCTCCCCCTTCGCCGTCGCCCTGAGACTGGAGCGTTGCTGCCGAGCCGTGAAAGGGAGCGGCCGGGCTGTTGTTTGGATTGAGGACTACGGAGAGGATCGTGTAGACGGCGGCGAAGGAGAAGAAACCGGCGAGGAGGATGGGGAGAGAGGGGAAGCGGGAGGATTCTGGGTCGATCGGACGGCGACCCATTGCCGGGGAATTTGAGTTGGTGGAGACGGGAGAAAGGGGGAAACCGAATGACGATCGAAATGGGAGGTGGGTCTGGCGTTGACTAAGGAATGAGGTATGGGGAAGAAGAAGAAGAAGAAGAAAGCCGCCATGGAAATTATTAATTGGAATTAGGAAATAATAAATATTTAATATTTAGCGAAAGATCAAAGTGCGCGTAGAATGGCGGGAGAGAGAGAGAGAGAGAGAGGAAGAGCTGGTTCTGGTTTGGAAGATTTGATTCCTTTCTTCTGGATGTGGTGTGAAGACGACGGGCGAGCATTGAGGACTGAGGATAAAACTAATTATCTTTTATTAATGTTCACTTTGCATTAATTTCATTAAATGATCATTCATGACAAATTATATCAATCGATCATACTTTGAGCGTCAAGTCTCGAACTCTATACACATCGCCATCGGGCTCGATGTTGGCGAGTTGAATGACCCTCCTCCCTATCTTGAGCACGAGCGAGAACGGATTCCACAAATCATTGGTGGCGGTAGGAGGTGGTGTAGCCAGAATTTAATACAAGGGGGTTTCGGTTTGGAAAATGTCGTGACGTTTTTATACTTTGAAAATGTCATATCGAGAATTTTATTTGTGATGTATGATATAAAAAAATATTTACGAAATTATCACTTATATGACTTAAAATAATGAGATTTTTAGTTAAGATAAGCGGAGAGAGAATTATAATTTAGTTGTGTGGGTGTTGATTTTAGACTAATCAATCTTTGGTAACTGCTCTCATAAGAAATATTAGTCTTTGTTGTAAGTAGATCAGGAATAGAAGAATGTCGACATGTTCAGATAGAGCTCATCAGCATTGCTGGCGACAATCGCGGACTAGAAGGTGTTTCCTCGGAAAAACCAAATGCCACGGCCGGTGCCGAATTCGTTTCCGGCGATGTTGATTCGATGTTTCGCGATGGAAACTCTTGCGGTGCCGTTTGATCGAATGCACCGCCGATTGCTGAAATCGAGACGACCGTCAAATATCTGCCGCCGAATGTCGGCGTCGTTGATTTGATCGATGCACCTCTAAATGGTAAAATCAACGTGACCGTCAAATATCCACCGCCAGGCGGTGTTGATTTGATCGATGCACCTCTGACTTCTAACCAAGAACGACCGTTACTACGGTTCGCACCTCTCCAAACTACGTTCGAACGAGGGTGTTTGAGTTTTGGGGAATCTACGCTACCGCTACTCCTATGGAGATTCCTGTGGAGAGCTCCGCGACTACGACTACTTCTACCAACTATGGAGATCCTTCCTGGAAGGAGAGCTCCGCGAAGGAGTTACAGAGAAAAAAGGTAAAGTTTGACAGATGTGTTCTGTGTTGATTTTTTGGTTCCCTTCCTCTCTCCTTGCTCTGTTGCCTTTATTCGAAAGCATCTTCGTAGTCTTCACGCTCTGTGGAACTGCTTCCTCAACTGCTCCGTCCTGAAATCCCACGTGTCTCAACTGCCTTGATCTCCTCTTTCTGCTTTGTGTAAAAGTCACGTGCACACACATCAACTTTGTACCATGGTTCGAATCACGATACCGCCATCGATTAAAACAACATTGTTGTTTCACCCTCGTCACTGCGTACTCGCCGCTAGATTGTTGATCTTTCGGCGTCGTTGACCACACAAAGTCGATGGCCTTCGTTGAACTCCACGATGTTGGCTTTGCGGCATCATTGAACTTCGCGGCATTGTCGCACTAGCAATGCCGCTAGATTCGCGACCGCGACATCTCTCTCCACCGCAATGTTGCTTAGCTCGCCGCGGCTTTATCCACCACCGCGGTATTGCTGATTCCTCATGCGATATCGTTTTCAAGCTCCGCGGTGTCGTTTTCTTCTCCAAACAGCTCCGTTTGTTTTTTTTTTTCCGCGACATTGTTTAAATATTTAAACACTGTCGTTTGCTAGTACAGCGGTACCGTTGGGCTTGCTCGCGGTACCGTTTTTAATTAAACGACACCGCTAACATAACCAAAAAAATATCAATTCATGGAACCGCCGCGAGTCTGCACTCGCATTGGGCTGGCGAATTTTGGTCACTTACCCAATATGGTTTATTTATTTATTTAATCGGTACCGCTTACCAGGCTCTCGCGGCATCGTTTTTAAATCTGCGGCACCGTTTTAACTCTCCGCGATGCCGCTTATCTCCATGCGGTACTGATTTTCCCCTTCCAACAAGGAATAAAAATATTAATTAATTGTAAACAAAACTCCTTCTCCAACACCAACTAAACGCGCGGCCCCATCTTATTTTCCGGCGGTGCCGTTGTCTGTGTCGCGGTACCGCTTTTCTGTTTCGCGGTACCGTTTTAACTCTCCGCGACACCGCTCAACTCCAAACGACACCGTTTTTTACCCGCGGCATCGAATTTAGGCCAAAAATATTTTAGGTGTAAACAATGCCCCCACAACTTAGTTTATAAGAATCAATTCTTATGAACTAAGTTGTTAACCCAACTTAATCACCTAAAATATTAAACAAATTGCAACTCAACCACTAAAAATTCACAAGGCAGCATTGCCAAATTAGTCACAGCTACCAAGTTACATGTAACCATTATTGCCCCCAAGCCACAAATTTGGCGGAAATCCCACCTATCTCAGCGTGGCCATGTAAAGTTGCAAACTTTGTCCTTTTTGCTGTAAAATATCTCTCGACATTGCAGGTCACTGCCGCACCGTGGCTTGCCATATGTTCTCTCCAAAGCATTATTGCGGCGAGAACTTAGGCTAAAAAAAAAAAAAAAAAACCAAGCGTGATCCTCTCCAAACAGGTTTGTTCAAAGGAACAAGGAAGATAAATAAAAATACCACAGCGTCGAAAACTAAACAACAGTGTTGTTTGAGCCAAAAACAACAACGTTGTTTCTCGATTGCTATTTTTATTTTTCTATTTAAAATTGGCTTATTCGCAGAAAACAAATATATCTTCCGTAGCGCCACCAAAGTTCTGCAACACTGTTTGGGTAAACGACAGTGTTGGTTATTTTATTAATTTTTTTTATTTTTTTATTATTATCCGAGCTGTTGCTCTCCTCATGCAAATTTTTTTCTATGTAGGGCTGTTGGACGCAGCGCTGGGAGTTCCCCTCATCAGCGCTGTTTTGGCCGCCTCTACTTTTTTTTTTAATTCTGGCCTGTCAAATTTCCGCCAGCGCTGAGACTTTTTTTTTTTTTTTTCAGGGCTGTTGGGAACAGCCGCAGGGTTGGGAGTCTCTCTTTAAATTTATTTTTTTTATATATATTTCCGCCAGGGCTGTTGGGAAACAGCGGCAGAGCTGAAAATTTTTTTTTTTTTTTTTCGCGGCTGCTTTGCCCGGAACTGAGAAAATATATTTTATTTATTTATTTTATTTTTATCAGCGCTGCTAGCACCAGGCCTGCAAAATTTTTTTTTTCTTATATTATTCTCCGCCAGGGCTGTTTGCAACAGCGGCAGAGCTAAATTTTTTTTTCCTCGCAAAGCTACGATAAACTTCACAAAACTGTTTGCACTTTCTCTCTCTTCCGCAACATTGCGGAGTTTGGCTCGCAAGCCTTTTTTTTCATGGTGGCTCGCAAGCCATTCTTTCAGCAATGCTATTTGCCAAACAAATTTTTTTTTCAGCCGTATTGTCTTGGCAACATTTATTATTATTATTATTATTATTATTATTTTAAATAAAACACTTTTGTTACAACAGCGTTATGCATCCCTCCAACACTATTGAGAAAAGAGAAAACAACACTGCTGACCATCTTGAACTACCGCCAACAACGTAGTGGCTTCTTCTTAACAATGCCGCTTGATTATATATATTTTTCTTTTTAACATATTGTGTGGCTTAATTTAGCCACATTATTTTTTTATAGCTAAAAAAAAGAACTAGACTTTGGCATAAACCATCACGCCAAAGGTCCAGACTCACTGCCAACTCCATGGATCGAACCAAACAAGCCATCCGTGAACGCCATTACTCTTCACAACTGGCTTTACACACGACCGAGAAGTTTTGAAGTCGGTGCTGGATTGAAACTTTTTAGCTCGTCTATCCCGAACATCCTTGTTTGAGATCCTACAAGCTTGACTTGGCTTTACTTCAGCCATAAGTTTTGATCGTTGACATGAAAAATCATCGGTATTTTTCGCTCTTGGCAAGACATTCACATTTTTTGGCATCTTCGTCTTGCCAAGTCGACCATGCCACATTGCCTGCTCAGACTGGTCCGGTTTTGTCAGTTGTACACTCTCACAATGTTGTTGGGAGTTTGAGCATCGAGATTTACTAGCTCCATCAACACGTGTGTTGGTAAATTGTTTACCACGACCATGATCTTTGCACTTATCGCACAACAACTTTGCATCTTTTGAACTTCCACGTGAGTTTGGAGGTTTGTTTGACATTGGCCTTGCCCCCCAGACCACCACTCATGGATTTGTTCCCAGCCAGCACTGGTGTGGCAACCCTATGTCGGGCTCGATTAAACTTGCCCCCCTTTCCACTCAGTGGAGCCTTTGGTGACAATTTACACGAAGGAATCGGTTGAGCAATACCAACTTTCGCAGCATTGAGTTTTTTCACGTGATCACCACCTCCATCTTGAGTAGTGTCTGTGGTGACCCTAGTTTGACTTTTCCTAGAACAAGGTGGATGTGGCAAACTTATTTGCCACTTACGGTGTTGTTTCTCCTTCAATCTACCACGAGATGGGATGGCATGCCCCCCGAGCGGCTTAGGTTGAACAACATTGTAAAATTTGTCATCTTTCAAGATATCCCAGTTGTTCTTCCTAATTTTATGAAACTTATTATAAACACGTTTAAATTTTGTTCTTTGTTGTGGCTTTCGCAAGACCGCTCTAACTTTCCAGTCCTTCAAAACAATAGTGTTCACAGGAGAACCAACATGAGAATTGCTGGCCCCTAACGCCACTGTTTTAGCCACAAGTTTAAGTGAATCCTTATTGGCAATACCGGAAACATGTTCATCTATCATCTCAAAAAATTTATCCATATGTCTTCCAAGAGAATCACAAGGCTTATTTAAAGAGATAAAATAGAGATGTACCTGCCGGTAATACTCTTCTACAGATCGACGAAGAGACAGGAGTGCAACATGCCCATCGATGCTCGACATGGATTGGGGCCGCTCCTTCATCCAACCGATATGTCTATCTGCCTCCTCTGCTTGGTTAACTTCAATGCCGACCACACGCTCCACCTTCACAGATTCTTGTGGAAGATCAACATTGCTTTTTCCATGCCGCAGAGCCATATTTCACTTCAAACACACGTATCCCATCGGGCGTGCCAAAATGTTTCCTCGGAAAAACCAAATGCCACGGCCGGTGCCGAATTCGTTTCCGGCGATGTTGATTCGATGTTTCGCGATGGAAACTCTTGCGGTGCCGTTTGATCGAATGCACCGCCGATTGCTGAAATCGAGACGACCGTCAAATATCTGCCGCCGAATGTCGGCGTCGTTGATTTGATCGATGCACCTCTAAATGGTAAAATCAACGTGACCGTCAAATATCCACCGCCAGGCGGTGTTGATTTGATCGATGCACCTCTGACTTCTAACCAAGAACGACCGTTACTACGGTTCGCACCTCTCCAAACTACGTTCGAAC